CACAAATAAAGCTGTACCATGATTTCATCCAAAAGCAGAGTCAGTGAAGACAGAAAGGAGGATAGAAGGGGTGGCTACTCTAAATACACGCTCAGTTCGCTAGTCTGGCCTTGGTATCTCAAGCATAATGGAATCTAAACACGTTGGGCTGTCAACAGGACAGTTCAGGCACAGGCCCACAACAGTCACATGTTTTGCTTGGCACTGCTCCTTGCCAGGTGAGCTGGCAGAAGCAGCAGCCTCAGCATGTCAGGGCAGCTGATTCAAAACAGTCTTTGCCTCCCTGTGATGGAGAGGGTGCCAAATTCAGCCTTGGAACTTGGAGGGGAAACAGCATGAATGCAAATCACAGGCGTGGCAAGAGGAGGCCCTGGGAAGCGTGTCTGAGCTGCTCTGCTCTCAGCGCCTTGTGTGGAAATGCCTTGTTTTCAAAGGAAATGGGCGTGTGAACTCGGTCCTTAAAGATGTCTCCCTCACCTCTGCCATCTCCACCTAAGTCCCCTCCCAAAATTACCCTGGCCTTATGAGAGAAATTTCATTTTTCATGCAAGGTAATGAGGAAAGAGAAGGGAGAAAGGGCATTGCTACTTTTTTTTTCCTAAAGAAAGCTTTGCATCTTAACCCCCAAACTGGCATGAAAACAGTTGCCCTTAAAACATAAATTATGATTTCTTCTCTAATTGGTTACCTTTAGATGGAAAATATTTCTTTTGCTTTTTATTCTGATTTTTAATGACATACAGTTCTCATTCTTTCTATTTCACAACCTTTTTTAAAAAGTTAATTTAGGGGAGCAGGAGCCAGAGGGAGTAGCGTCCATAAATTGGCTTTGGTCATCTGTATAGAAATTCAGTGAAAACAGGTGACAGAGTATCTGTTTTATAAGTCCATTTGTTTAGATTTAACAATTTAAAAGAAAACAAGTTTTAAATATTTGTTTATAATAAAAGTCCACTTCGGTTAAGGAAGGATGAGGCTTAGAGTTGTGTTTTGAACTAGCTGTTCCCAATCCATCATGCCTAAGATAAGTGCCTTAAGTTGTTTGTCCTGTGAAGTTAATGGACAGGGATAATCTAAACAGGTTATTCTCGTAGTCCTCCTGGGGAC